CTTAATCGCAGCAGCGGCGCCCCTCCCCACCAGCTGCAGATCGCGAGAAGACACCCCTGAAACCGCGCGCCCGCGCTGGGCCCCAGGAGTCGGACCGCCATCGCAGATCCCAACCGCCCGATTGCAGGAGTTGGGATGGCGTTCCTCATGGCGCTGGGCCACACCGGCAAAAAGCGAAAACACACATCCGCATCTGCGGCCTCGGGCCCCCGCGCCGCGCCCCCGCGGACGCGGCGCCTGCATTCGCGGATGCCCCGCGCGGCCGCGCAACCGTGCATCCGAGGGATCGCGCCCCGGAATCCAGACCGAGAGGGCGCGGACACGGATGCCTTCGCCGCTCGCAGAGACCGGCGAGCCTGGCACTTGGCAGAGCGCCGGCCACGACGCCCAGGTAGCCCAGCAGCGGCACCAAGCCCAAGGACCGTCGCGACCGCGAGGAGGGGGCCCGCCAGATCCTCCAAGGTGATCAAGGAGGACTTCGGCTCCTGCTGGGCTTGAAATGGCCGTAACAAGACTGCTTTCATCACTGCGGGGCGACATGTCCGCCGGCACGACGGAGCGGGGCACGTCTGCAGCCGCGCAGAGTTCTGCGGCAACTTGCGCAGGCGGCCCGCCGACCGAGGAGCGGAGGTCGCCGCCGACGTAGCTCAGCCGGCGCCGATGCATCTGACCACGAACGCGACCCATTGATCAGCCAGCGATCGAACCGAGTCGGGGAACCCTACAAACCGACAGCGCGAGGAACGCCGTAACCTGCGGGGGCCCAAGCCTCGACGCGCCCGCTTGCAACCTTAATAAGTTAAACGGCTCGCTGTGCATGCGCAAGCCGCAAACAAGCCTAGCTCCCACGCCCCACTCGCCACTCCGGCCCCCGCCCTAAACGCCCGTCGCCAAGCGACGCCCAGCGCCCCGCGGCAGTGGCCTCATGCGACAAACACATCGCCCGTTGCTGGCCTCCTGCGCAAGCCCACGCGGGCGACGAGCTCGCCCCCTCAACTGACGCAGACTGGTCGCCAAACACCTTGAAGTTTCGGGGGCGGCGCGATCAGGACAGCCAGGAGCTGACTGGGGAGAGATCAATCGTCTCCAAAGGATGCGCTAAACGTGACCACTCGGAGAGAATCATCACATCGCAAAACGTAGCGGCTCAGATGGAAGCCGACGGCCACTGCGCTGCCACCTTTGCACCACCTGAATAAAGCCCTCATCGCGCGGGGCCCAAGGTGGGGAGGCGGCGCGAAACGCGGGCGCGGCGCGCGGGGGCTGGGCCTCCGGGGCGGCCCCCCAGCACCCCGCTAGCTCATTGCTTTCATGTTCTGGCATTGGAGACGGACCCGAGACGACGCGCCCCCCCGCCTAGAGGGTGATGGTCGGTTTCCAGACGACAGGGTCGCCGCGCACACTGCGCGCCCGCTTCCTCGCCTAGCCCAACCAGGAAGCGAGCCCGGACTTCCAATCCCACTGCGCAATGACCTTGCACGGGGTCGCGCAGCCCATCGAAGTCAGAGCGACGCAGCCCCCGACGCACTGGAACTGCACCGGGGCCCGCCGGCACCGCCCCCCGGATAGCTGCCCGAAGAGCACCGCGCAAATTAAAGTTGACGAAAAATGGCACGCACCCAAGACCCGTCAGCCGCCGAGTTCAGCAGGAACCGAGCGCTGCGCCAGCGAACGCAAGAAAGCGCGGGATACCCAGGCAGACAATCCCTGCTGGCGAAGCTCTTCCAAAACGCACAGCGGCCGCATCGAGCCCAACAATGGAGCAAGGCGCCGTCATAAACTCCACGCGGCCCCTTCCCCGCGGCATCCGCCCACGGCTTGCAGCCCGGACGATCGCGCGCCCCCTCCCCACCGGCGCCCGCCGCTGCCGCGGCGCAGCGCCGAAGCGCCTGGTCGCCAGAGACCGCCGCTGCGCCAAACGCGGGCGAGACGCCCAGTCAACGGGGCAGGGCTGCAAAAAAGCTCCAGAGTCAACCTCGGCGCACTCGGCGACGGTCATCGGGCTGGCGGGCCCCGGGGAAAGCTTCGAGCCTCAGCCCAAGGAGCCCAGGCCGCCTGGAGCAAGATCGAAATCGCCCCCCGCGACGCCCCCCCCAATCCGCGGGCGCCAAACAACTGCCGATGGTCGAGAGGACACGCAGGTCGGTTTTCGACAAGCCCGACAAGCCGTCGGCGCAGACGAGGCAACAAGGCGATGCCCAAATGGCGAAACCTCCAGAGGGTGAACAACTTCAGCAGCAAACCAATGAAGAACCACAAGCTTGCCCGCAGGGGGGTCGCGGAGGCCGAGGTAGCCCCTGGCTGGGATCGCAACGCCCGAAAGCAACCCAGCACCTCGCACAAGAGCAGCAGGGGACCGAAGGCTATCCCATCCCTCCGCCGAGCACCACTGAGAGAGGCTCACTTTGTGTTCTTGTGCTGTTACAAACCAACTTGTCCTTGCAAGGCACGCTCCTGGCCGGCCTCGATTCAATCCGCCGCGGTGCCCCATGAGCTTACATTCGACATTCGGAAACTGCACGCGACGCGCAAACACTAGAGGCTTGGCGGGCGGACTGGGAACTGCACCCGCCTGACCGCGCGAGCGCGGACCCTCGCCTGGGAGATCGCATCAAACGAGCACCGGCAGGCAGAGGAGGCCTTCCGCCCAGGGGCGCGGCGGACTGGAAAAAACAATGTCGGGCGGAGCTCGGCCCTGCGACAACGCGCGGAAATCGCGGGCGGCCCCTCGGAAAGGCACCGCGCACCCGCGGCGGGCTTCCCCCAAAGCCGCCAGATAGACGCCGCGCCCATCGCGCGCGCTTAGATTCCCGAGAAGCCCCGCAGACCAGAAACGACGATGCACGTAGCCATGCTCGAACTCAGAAGTATTATGCTGAACGCTGGCCTGACTGGAAGCTCCTCTGATTACGCCGATGCTTCCCCTCCGCCGCGGCGGCAGCTCTTGGAAGCGGTGTCGGTGGTGTCGACGGACTTTTCGGGGCATCGGGGTGGTTTTCTGGGGCGTCAGTTGGGTCTCTGGGGGGGCCTTTGGGGCTTCTGGACAATCTCTTGGGGGCCTGCTGGCGGTCTCGAGGTCATCTTGGGGCGGCGAGCGCGAAATGTCAGTTCGGGTGTTCCCTTTTGGACCCGCTTGGGCCGTTTTGGAAGCCTCTCGGACCCCTCTTGCGCCGTCCAGGGCCCTCTCGGGGAGGGGGGGGGGCTGGAATGCGCCGCGCCAGCCCGCTTCTGAACATCCCCAGACTCGGCACTGGAACAGCTCCACCACCCCCAGGCCGCGGGCGCAGCAAGCGACGCCACGCCAAGGCCTGGAAGGCCGCCTTCGGCGTTTTCGCCCGTCGCCGCCGCGGCGTTCCCGTGAGCGTCGTCCCGGGTCCGCCGTTCCTTCTGCGCTATAGCCTGAGCACTCGCCTTCGGTACGTTTACTTGGCAGCACGTGCCTGTTCGAGGAAAAGCCCCACAGGCCCCCTCGCGCGTCTGAGATGCCACACACCCACCCCATTTCTGCTTGCGGCGCTCGATCTGCTGAATGCCGTCCGCGCCAAGTCTCCAGCCACGCGAGGCCGAAGCCGTCGGAGGGCGTGGTGGACAACTTGAGGCTGGGCACGATCGTCGCGACCGTATCCTCGCTGTTGCGCACGCCACTGGCCTGCCGCAGCTCGTCCACGTTATCCTGATATCGAACATTCGCCTCCTTGAGGTATTGCTGTGCTCGGCGTAGACGGCCTGGTTGGCCACGTCGATCTGCATGTGGGGGCATGGGGTTTGCGCTCCAATCGGCCCACGGCCGCGTTGCTCTGCTGGATTCGCTGCTGGACTGGGGCCTCCGTCGGGTGTAGTTCGGTTTCGAGGTTCGCGTGCAGCTGGCTGTAGCGCCAGGCGTCCGCCACATCGACGGTTCCTCGAACAGCTTGGCCCCCATTGAAGGATACCTGCGGCACCATCCCGACGGCGAGAAACTGAGCGGCCCTTGGGACGCCCTTGCCGAGCTGCCCTGGTCCGCCACCTTCGCCGTTGTCGCCGCGCCCTTGCCGCCATCGGCATGCCCTCCACCCCCCCCCCAGGCACTTGACCATCCCCAACCAGGAGGAGCAAACATTCCAAGAAGAATGCCCGCAACCTAAACACCCAAGGCCCCTGGCGGAACGGAGGCCGTGACCTTGCGCAGCTGACTGCCAGTGTTTGCAGAACCGCGACGTGGCCTCGTTTAGGCTGCATCCGCATCTACGACTGGTGGACCGTTCCCACTCCCAGTCGTCGCTGGTGTTGTCTGCAGGGCCTGCCCGCGTCAACCAGGCCGGCGGGGCATGCAGGAAGATGCAGGTTCACGCTGAGCCAGACATGGCCGATGAAAGAAGACTACTCTGATGTTGGCGCCACCAATCACAAGAGACTTGCTTGAAGCCTGCGCCAGAACAGCTGCAGGATGAGCAGGACGAGCAGGAGAAACAGGAACAGGAGGGGAAAGACGGCGGACGAAAGAATGACGAGGGAGAAGGTGGAGGAGTGCGAAGGCGAGGAAGGGGAGGAGGGAGAGGGAGGAGGAGAGAAAGTATATGAGAAGACAGGAGAGGAGAGGAGAGGAGAGGAGAGGAGAGAAGGATCAGAAAAGATAGGGGAGGAAAGAATGAAGAAGGAGGGGTAATGGTTGGAGGCGGAGGCGGACGGGGATGACGGGAGGGGGGAAGTAAAGGGGTTAAGGGAGGGAGGTAGATTGGGAGGCGGGGGAACACACAGGATATGATGCGGAGGAAGGGGAAAACGAAAAGGAAAAGAAAGAGGAGCAAACGAAGGAGGAGGAGAAGAACTGGGAGGAGGGCGCGGAAGAGGAGGAAGAGGAGAGAGAGGAGGAAGAGGAGGCGGAGGGAGGGGAGGAGAGGAAAGAAGAAGAAGAAGAAGGGGGAAGGAGGCAGCTGAGGAGGAACAACGGCATCAGGAGAAGGGGTACGAGGATCCGGGAATCCGCTGCGGGCGGGCATCGGGGAGGTTATATGGGATGCCTTCGGGTCGGGCTCTGGGCCGACGTCCTCCTGGCAGAGGGGGGGCGGAGTGAGGAGGGCTGGAGGAGGAGGAGAAAAGGCGGAGAAGGAGAAGGAGGAGGAGGAGAAAGAGGAAGAGGAGGAGGAGGAGAAAGAGGAAGGAGAAAAGGAGGGAGGAGGAGGAGGAGGAGGAGGAGGAGAAAAGGAGGGAGGAGGAGGAGGAGAAAGAGGAAGAACAAAAGGCGGCGTCGGCGGAGCGGTCGCAGGCCGTGGTCGGTTTGGGCATACCTGCCGAACAGCGAGGAAACCACGTCGGGTGACGACGTCGATGAGGAGATGGCCTCCCCCAGGCGGGGACGCCCGGGGCGTCCTCGCTCAACCACGAGTGCACAGCGAGCGAGTGGACACGACTGGATCACGCAAGACGGGCCAGCAGCGAACCGTGACAACGCGGAGGAAGAGGAGGAGGAGGGAGGAGGGAGGAGGGAGGAGGGAGGAGGGAGGAGGGAGAGGCCAGGCGCGAACGCAGCGAGAAAGAGGAAGGGGCGGCACGACGAGCAAGAGAACGCACCCCAACCAAAGAGGTAGGGCCCGAGAAGACAATGCAGCACATGGGGGGGCTTCAACATTTAGGCCTGCGCGCCACATGAACCATTTTCCGCAGAGCTGAAGATTCGGGAGTCCTGCGAAAGCTGCGGAGCCCGCCAACACCTAGTGGGAAGGACTGGACGACGAAGGGGAGCAAGGTACTCGCCTGCCCTGGTCTCCCAGCGCAGATCCTGCCGCTGTCGACCGCCGCCGACCGCGACCGTGAGCCCGGTGACCGCCTCCGAACCGCCTCCTGAACACTTCACGGACCTGCTGCGGTCCGAAATCGGTCAGACGCCTCGCTCTGGCCGAGTCGCCTCGAACGCCGCCGTCGACCACCACGTTGACTTCGAGCTGCAAGCGCTGCTGCTCCCCACGTCTGCACAGGCCAAGAACATGGGATGTTACCGTCTCGATGACGCTGGTTGCCCCCCTCCGAAGTCCAGCACCAGCGACGATCGTGCCTGAAACTACGTTACAATTTATCCAGTCATCTTAGCATTGTGCACACCGTTGATCTGCACCTATTGTGGGGCGCCTTGGGGTCAGACTCGCGACGCTATAGACAGCCTGACGACCAAAGGGTAAAATACATGAACGGGATCACAATGTCAAGCCTGACAGACCGTACCCGATGAGCCAACCGCCACTCGTCCTTGCAGGCGAAATCCGTAGCACACGATTAGCTGGGCCTGTGTTCATCAAATTGAGAAGGTCCACTTGGTCTGGCTCATTGCGTATGTCGTGGAACGTCGCCTCAAATAATGCATTGATACAGCATGGAGGGTACCATGTGTGAAAAACGGCGGGCCTAGGGGAATCCATCACCGTATGGGATGCGAGTTCGGAATTGCTGCCTTCGGTGAAGGCCCCTGACGTGCTGCAATGCTGAGCAGAAGGGCTACGAGAGAGAGGAGGGGAGGGGGGAGGAGAGAGAAGGAGGGAGGATGCGACCCAGGCAGCGGGAGGAGGGAGACGGCAGAGAGGGCGGTGGGAGCATGGGCAAAGAAGATGAGTGACGGGGAAGTGCAGAGAGGATGTGGAGCAAGAGTAGCGTGAGAAGCAGGATGAAAATGGGCTCTTCTTCGAGCAATGTTCAGGATCCTGCGGGTTGGACTCCCTCCGGCCCCCTGAGCCTGTCTCAGGGCCGCCATCGGCTGCCCCCGGCCGGAACTGAGATGGGCCGGGCGGTGAACGCGACGCGCCTCGAAGGTGAAGCAGGGCGAACGCTCACGGGAGCGCCCGTTTGCCCCACAGGGCGCCCAGCCGCAGAGGACACTCTGGCACGGCGAGACGCAGCAGCACGGCAGAGGACCCGCCATCGCCCGCTCGCCGCCGCCGTCGTCTTTGCGCGATCGCTCGCAAGAGCGCCCGCCAGGCCCTGGAGGCACAATGAAGGACGCGCCAGTAAGGCGAGACTGAGAATCACGGCAGAGGCCCCTCCACCTCGTCCCCATGCCGCCCGCCACGCGGGGACGCCTCGTCGTCGTCGTCGTGGTCGCCGTCACCGCCGACGCCGCCATCGTGGTCGTGGTCCTCCTCATCCTCCTCCTCAACGCGACACGCTTCGCATGCGAAAGAGAAGCAGCGGCGTCCGAAGCCCCCGGAGTAGACCTCACTACCTGGTCGGCATCCGCGCGCACGCTTGTGCAGTCAAAAATCAGAAAACAGCGACAACACCAACACCTCCTCCCGCTCCGCCACCTCCACCTTGTCCCGCTCTTCGTTATCATCCCAATTCTCCTATATCATCCTTGTCCTCACCCTCCTCGTACTCCGCCTTGTCATTCTCTTTGAGCTCATCCTCCTCATCCTCCTCTTCCTCTGCCTCCGCCTCCTCCTCCTCCGCCTCCACATCCCTCCCTCGACCTCGCCCTCCTCCTCCAGGGCGTTCTCCGCCGCGCCTCTGAACTCGGCCACGGGGCCTCAATGGCAGAAGGGAGCCGGGCAGAAACCGCTGTCGGCGCCTTCTGGTACCTCTGCTTGCCCTTTCCACTGGCTTCCGCATCACGGGCTTCGATGGCGGGCAGCGCTGGCACTCGAGCCTCCTCCGCGAAGGCGCGGGCTTGGCGTTACGTCACGTTTTGCCACGTTTGAAGGATAGTCGTATCCGAGAGTAGCTCCAGTCCGCACCCTGCCGAACGCAGCATGATGAGGCGTCGTCCCGGCCATTTTGACACCGCAGTGCTTGGCGTGGATAACCGCAGGCGCGGCGATGTCATGCTGGTCGCTGGAGCATGGTCATGAAGATGTGCCCGCACAACTCCACCTTGCCGATCTGACAGTGGGCGTCAGGTGCTGCAAACCGCAGCGACACCCCGAGCAGGCCGAGTTTGCCCTCGAACGCGACGAGGAACCCTCCATCGGCGTCTGCTAACACCTCGCGAGGTAGTCCGAATAGCAGGAGCAGTATATGAGCGAAGAGTTGCCAGACGGCCTCGGGGAAGCACGAGTGGCGCGACGCACGATATGGAGGCTGGTCGCGACATCGATCGCGCTCACCAGGGCGTGAGTCTCGTCGGCCATGTCCATTGCGAAGAAGACGTCGAGCTGGATCATGCCCCCGAACTGGCTCACTCCAGGCAGCTTGGCCAGCCCATGCTGCTTGGTCTCTTCGCTGCGGTCGCAGGCCGCGCAGCGAAGAGCTGATATCGCTGGTAGTGTCGCCCAGCTCGCCACTGCGGGTCCCTGCGACGAGGACGGCTGCAACTGATGCGTGGCGCACCACGATCCGACGGATCTCTAGAGGCGCCTGTTGCTTCGCCAGGCCGACGATCGCGGTGTCTCCGCGCGCAGAAGGCGCAGTCGTTCTGGCACCTGCCGTCAGAGGCGGGCCCCCGTCTGGAAGTAGGACGTCTGGCGCGAATGAGACTCGATTCGGTGCCATATGAGGCTCTGGCGGCGAAGGCGATTCTGGGCGTCCTCGACATCTGGCGCAAAGCCCCCCACATCATGGTGCCCAGCACCGGCTTCTGGAATTGTGGCCTGGGGTACGGCACGGACGCCAGGCTCTCAGTCTCGACGCGGGGCTCGCCCTGCATTGGCACCAGATGGGCACCACAATGGGCCCGAAGGACATACAGCTGAATCCTGCGGGCCTGCGGCTGCAGCAACAACTGCACCGCGTGACTCCGTGGCCCTCCGCATGACCAGACGGCCCCAGCGTGATGATGTTCTTGATCGTGGAGTTGGCCGAGAACGCCTCACCCGCGTCCTGGACGGGCGCCCACACCTTCGCATCCCCTTCGACATCCTGAACACCTCGGCCTCGGTGGCAACGGCAAGCATGGCTGGATCGCGGTCCTCCATCGCCTTTGCCATTGTCCATGTCAGTTCTAGAACGTGAGGCACTGCGGGGGGCGATGGCCACGCACATTCCAAGCGTTGGCCACCCGTTCTGACAAGTGTTGCGAAAGTGCTGCGAGCATACGCATTTCCAAGAATAAGCCCTGACGACACTCTGGCAACTCATGCAACGCAACATGCGCCCAGGGCAAATTCCAGAACCTCTGCGGGGCGCAGGTGGAGGGCCCGATGTTCCCCAATTAGGTTTGTCTAAGAGGTTGCTGTTTGGTTAAAGGTTGGTGCCTCGGAATGCTACTTTGCCCGTTCCTCGGAGATTCCTCGAGTTCCTCGGGTTCCTCAGGTTCCTCGGGTTCCCCGCGCCCCGTTGGTGCGTCCTGTTCCCAAGTTAGGCTTGCCTTCAAGGTCCTTACTTGTTTAAAGGCTGGCACCAGGTATCAATGTCAAGAAGTGCCAAGCAACGCCAAGCAATGCCAAGCAATGCCAAGCAATGCCAAGCAACACCAATCAATGCACAGTTATGCCAACCCATGCAAAGCAATCCCACGCAATATCAAGCAGTGCCAAGATGCCAAGCAATGCCAGGCAATGCCAAGTAATGCCAAGCAATGCCAAGCAACGCCAAGCAACGCCAAGCGATGCGCCAAGCGATGCGCCAAGCGATGCGCCAATGCAGTAGGCTTTCCCAAAATTGGGGTCGCGCTGGGTTCATTTGAGCTGAGTGATGAGAGGAGATGCTGTGCCTGGGCAAGTCTCAACGACGTTCTGGCTCTCGCACGAGCCTGTCCTTTCCTTCGGTGCGAAGCAGGCTCCGGCTAACTCTGTCTACCTGAGGTGGAGACGGTGCAACACAAGAGATGCAACGTGTGCGAGTCGCGGCTAGCACGCCTTAGATCAGGATCAAGGCTGCTCTACTTGGCAACGCACCCTACCAAGTACAGAGATGTCTCGGGTGCTGCCAGGCCCTGGAGCCCAGACCTGCCCCTCCTCCTCATCATCCTCCTCCACCTTCCTCATGGGGAATAAAAGGGGGAACAAGGCAACGAGGCAGGGCAAAGGGGAAGAGGGAAAAAAGGGGAGGGTGCAGGGAAGGGGACGGGGAGAGAGAGACGGGGGGAAAGGGGAGGAGGAAGAGGAGGAGGAGAGATGAGGTGGCCAGGCTGGACAAGGCTTGGCGCGGCGTGGGTCTACAAGCTGATCTCTTCCGATGAGAACTGTGGAGTCAATTGGATTTTAACCAGGTGGGAGGGGGAGGCAACAACTCATCGTCAGCGACCTCGTCTTCCTCCCCCTCCCTGCTCCCGCCTGCCTCTTACCTCCTCCCTCCTCCTGCTAATCCTCCTGCCTCATCGGTCCTCATCGGTCCTCCTGTCCTCCTCCTCCTCCTCCTGCCCCCTCCTGCCTCCTGCATCCTCCGCTCCTCCCTGCTCCCGCTTCCCTCCGACCTCATCCCTCCTCCTCCTCCTCCTCCTCCTCCTCCTCCTCCTCCTCCTCCTCCTCCTCCTGCGGCACTGCGGGCAAAGCGGTCCTTCTCCGCCGAAGCCCGCGCCGCGCCCGCGCCCGTCGCGCGCGGCGCGACGCACGACCCCCTTCCTCAGAGATCCTCCTCCCTCCTCCTCCTCCTCCTCCTCCTCCTCCTCCTCCTGCTCCTCCTCCTCCTCCTCCCCCGCCTCCTCAACCTCATTTAGTGTCACTCCTGTCTCCGTCCCAGGTGGGCAGGGCGTCGGAGAGCACCGTCATCCGCAGAAGATGCTTCATGTAGCACTCCTCCGTCATGGAGGCCGCGTCCTCGCGCTCGAGACGGCGACGGGCCGCTCACGTCGTCTTCCTCCTCCTCGCACGCCTCGTCCTCGCCCTTGACCATCAATATCCTGCTTAGTCATCTTATCATCAGTAGTGATGCTATGACTACTAAAACTGGTATTATTCGCACGTGCACTCTTATCAGAATTCGTGGTAGACTTGCATTTGGTCACAACAAAGGACGAAGTGCTGGTATGTTCGCCAGGCGGTTCTTCTTAATGGTCTTACGAATCATTCCCCGAACAGGGCTTGCACTCAGGGGTTCATACTTCTGGAATAAGGAACTGGCCTTGCGGGCCGGTCCGGCGGCAATATACTGGTTCACATAGATTGCACAACCTGGATTGCACCAAATTTACCCTACATCAATTGCACCACATATTGCACAACATAGATTGCGCAACCTAGACTGCATCACATAGACTTCACCACATATGTCGCACAACACATCTACGGCACCGCACATATGTATATATATATATATATATGCATGTATGAGTACAAATGCATTGCACCACAGGGATTGCACTACCTAGATTGCACCACGTATGTTGCACCATGAAGACTGCACAACATAATTTGTACCACATGGAACGCACCACAACCATTACACCAGATATACACATAGATTGCTTCACATGGATTGCACAACCTACTTTGTACTACACATGGTTCACCACTTATAGTGCAGAACATAGATTGCATGCCATATAGTGTACACAATATACTTCACAACACCTATTGCACAACCTAGAATGCAAACAACATGTTACTCAACAGATGTTGCACAACATAGTTTGAACACAACATGTTGCACTACATAAACTGGACCATAGACATTGCACCAGATGTTTTGCTAGAAAACACTGCTTGGGGTCCACACTGGCGAATATAATACTCACACTATGACCTGTACTACCCGTTCTGAATTCTAGCCACATAGCTTTCAAACAACCTCATTACAAACGTGAGTAGCCTTATGACTCGTCGTCTTATCAGTCGCTATGGTGCCCGTATCATTCGTATCCGCCATCGTGCCAGAAGGCACGAGTTGGAGTATCATCAAGCCCTTCTAGTCCTCAGTCCTCCGTTCTGCTTAATCGAATCTGCAAGGGGCCGGACCCCAATCCAACGTACTTCTGGGGGCGTGACGCGTGTTGGCGAGTGTTGGCGCGTGTTGGCGAGCGCTCGCGCTTCACTATACAAAGACCAAAGGCCCCCAGACGGGCCAGGAGGGCCCCAGGAGGCCTCCAACACGGTCCAAGAGGGCTCCGGGCCAGCCCAAGAGCGCTCTGGGACCCCCAAGATGGCCTGAAAATTGCCCAAGAGGGCCCCAAGACGCCCAAAGAGGCTCCACAAGCCCCCCCCGAGAAGATCCCAAGAGGCAAAAGTCAGTGATTGTCCTTAGGCATCTGATGGATTTTAGCATTCTCGCCTTCTTCGGGCTCTCGACGCTCCCAGACGACCCAGGGGGCCCCCGAGATCGCCCCAAGACGGTCCAGGAGGCCCCCAAGGAGGCCCCCAGACGGCCCGAGAGGGCCCAGGGGCCCCAGAGGGGGAACACAAACCGACGTTTCGAAGGCCCCCAAGAGGCCCAAGTCGGGCCCCAAGACGCCCCCGAGAGGCCCCCGAGAAGCCCCCAAGACTCTCCAAAACCGCCTGCAATAGGCTTCCGCGAGGCCTGAAGACCCCCACAGGCATCCAAGAGGCCTCTGACCTACAACCAAGGCACGGTGGCGGGATGGGCCGAAGACCAGTAGACAAGTAGTAATGTTGTTGCTCCTGTTGTCTTAATACAGATGTTTGCCAGCGTGGACCCAAAACTGTGTTTCTAGCAATCGGTGTTGTGCTATATCTATATATATATATATGGAACCTCTTATGTGGTGTAATAAATGTGCTCCAATCTAGGTTGTGCCATCTGTGTTGTGCAATCTCAGTTGTGCAATATGTGGTGTAATCTCTGTTGTGCATTTTACGTGGTGCGATATATGTTGGACAATCTATGTGGAGCAATCTACGTGGAGTAATCTGAGACATGCAATCTTAAGCCCGTAAGCCCTGCCACACAGGCCCGGACGACGGGCGGCGACGGGGCGGCGACGGGGCGGCGACGGGGCGGCGACGGCGACATAGCCGCCAGAGCGCCACACCGTCCCAGACGAGGGGCGGCAACGAGGCGGCGACGGGACGGCGACGGCAGCGAAATAGCCGCCAGACTGCCGCACCGGCCGACACGAAGGGCGGAGATGAGGCGGCGACGGGGCGGCGAGCTCCATAGAAAATAAATAAGAACCCCTGAGTGCAAGCACTGTGGGAATATTCATGTGTGTAGCATCATTCTTATCATTAGCATCATCATTTATATATTTTGGCTTTATTACTACCATTGAATAGTGTTCCTCCTCCTCCTCAACCTCCTCCTCCTCCTCCTCCTCCTCCTCCTCATCATCAGCAGCATCATCGTCCTCCTAATCCTCCTCATCATCATCACCACACAACCACCACCATCATCACCATCATCATCAGCATCATCATCATCATCAGCACCACCACCATCATCATCATCATCATCATCATCATCATCATCATCATCATCATCAGCATCATCATCATCATCATCATCCACCACCACCTTAATCAGCATCACCATCGCCAGCAGCAAGATCATCATTACCTTCACCAACTCCACAACCATGATGATATGATGGTGATCACCGTCATCATCATCAGCAGCAGCAGCGTCACCATCATCATCATCATCATCATCATCATCATCATCATCATCAGCATCATCATCATCGCCATCATCACCATCACCATCTGCATATTCATCTCCACCTTCATCAACAACAGCAACATCATCATGAGCATACTCAGCATCCACATCATCAGCATCAGCGTCATCATCATCACCACCACCATCACCACCATCATCACAACTACGATCATAAGCATCAAAATCATCATCATCATCGTCGTCATCATCATCACATCGGCATCACCATCACATCGGCATCATCAGCACATTGGCATCATCATCAGCAGCAGCAGCAGTATCATCACAATCATCATCAGCATCTTCATCACCATCATCAGCACTATCATCATCAGCATCATCAGCAGCACCATCATCATCAGCAACATCATCATTATCATTATCATCCCTCCTCATCCTCCTCTTCTGCGTGAAGTAATGAAGACAGACACAGTAGTCGTGGACGGCTTTGACGCTCGGTAGGAAGGCGAAAACTCCGCGACCCATGTCTTCGTCCAGGAGCGCGAGACGCCTCTCACCGCAGTGCTCGGCCGTCTCGAGACCGCCCGCTTGAAGGGGGGCTGGGAGTCTCGTCGACTTGGCAGAGGTCGAGGCGGAGTTGGAGGTGATGCGGGAGTGGAGGCGGTAGAAAATTTGGCGTGGTAGCATGGCCTTCAGCTTGCCGATATTCTCGCCTCCTCCCCCTGCTCCTCCTCCTCCTCCTCCTCCTCTTCCTGCTTCTGCTCCCGACCCTGCTCCTCCTCCTCCTCCTCCTCCTCTTCCTCCTCCTTCTGTTCCTGCAGGTCCCTCATTACTATTCCAGCTATTTTTATGCGAATGCGATGCCGAATGCCGTATGATAGCGCACTGTTGTCGTTCACTTGTCATTCCACATTTTGCTTCATCCGTGAATGCGTGGTGCCAGGCATGGTGAGCACCATGTGCCTGCTGCCGCACGGTAGCGCAGTATGTCATCGGCGATGCCGAATCCAACGAGCCCTGGGCGAAAGTGGTCTAGCGTTTACTCTTCCAACCCGCTTCTTTGCCTTTGGGGGATGTTTAATCCCTGCCCCGCCCCCCTCCACCTGGGTCTGGAAGGACCGCCACGCCCCCCGAAGTGTCAGAGGGTTGTTTTTGTTGACCCAGGATTGCCCCAAAATGGGCTTCAATACCCAATGTGGCCGATAAGGTCGCACAAGATAGCCCAAGATGTCTCAAAATACCATTCACAATGCCCCCACAAGGAGCCAAGACAGCTCCAAGACGGCCCCCAGTCGACACGAAGCCTTCCAAGGATGCCCCGAAGAGACCGAAATACTTCCAACACACAAAAGCATAAATCTTGTTTGCGTTCTCGCCTTTTTCGCTCCCGGTGAGAACCTGAGGCCTCCAGCTGGCTCCAAGAGAGCTCCAACTTGGAAAGACCGGGTAATTCTGGCAACCTCCCCCCGTCAGCAACGCTGGCTCCTCGCAGTCCGTGCTGCGCGGCGACGGAAAAGGAGAAAGGGAACGAAAAGCAACCTGACGACGGCGAGCGCGCAGGCGGGAGGCCAGGGCCAACGGGACGAAGCAGGCGGGCGGTCAAGCGGGAAGGGACAGAGGGGAGACGATGTTGCTGCTAGAACCAGGCTGGCAACGCCTTGCCATGACCAGCCGTCTGTCAAGCGTGGGGCAGCGGGCACACAAATGACGCACACTGACCCTCCAGGTCAGTCAACTCTCCCACAAGCCGCCACACTCCTTCTGCAACATGGAGCAACAGGCCTCCCTCAAGGAGAACCTGAAATTGCTCGGGCGTCTGCATCGGCGCAAGAGCGGGTGGCGATACTCGGCCGGGGGATTGGCAAGGGGGGGCCCGCGCATGGCAGACCAAGGCTGCACCCCCGCGCGCTCGTGAGAACACCGCACCGATCGCAGAACGTGAACCGCAGAGGATCGTCGTCGCCGCCGTTCACGCGACCCCTGTCCAGCTCGCCAAGCGCACGTTAGCGGGCAACGCCCGCGGCATGATCCTTGAACCTCCGGAGTTTGACGGAGAGGTCCCCGCGCGCGTCGAAGGGATTGCTGACGATCTCTTTCAGGCAGGGGCACCGGACAATGCAAGACGGCGCCTCGCCAAGCAGGCCCTTTTTCGGAAGCCGAGAAAACATCGTGGCAACACCAAGCTGGTCCTCGAAGTCGGCGCCCTCCTCCATGACGTCCCCGAGGAAAAGGAAGTGCTCAATGATCGTGGAGCATGGGTTGTTGCGTAATTTGCAGAGACCTGTCGGGGAGAATCCCCATGCCGCACGACGTGCTGCGGCAGAGGCCGCTCGCTCTCGCGGGGCCTCTTGCAGGACCTTGCGGGAAAAAACACGGCGCGAAGAACAGAACGCGCAGGCAGCCAGCCCAGAGCTGTTGCTTTCATATAGTGATCAAGCTGCTCCGAAGTATGGCGGCTAGAATGAATCCGATCCAGTCGGCAACGCGCCGAAGCCGATGCACGTGTTAAGTCCGGCTGGTACATAGCACGCATGCCGCAAGGGCGACCGAAAACGCTCTGGAAGTACCGCTGCGCAGGGGCATCCCTTCTCCCAGAGGCCTGTACTCAATGAGCGTCTGTCCGAGTCCTCTGCCACCCAATTGAAGTCACCGCTAAAGTTCCTAAGCGCTGCCTCCTAGCACTTGATGGCGCATGCAATCCTGAGACGAAGGTGCCCGCTAAGTGATGGGAGTGTCGCGCATTTGTGGGCACGGTTAGCGTGAACTCCATACAGATCACGCTCCTGGGCCGCGTTCCCAGCGTGAAAGTGGGCGACCACAACGTCTGACCTGCCACTTCGGGTAAGCTCGGCAGCTCGGCCAGGCCAGAAGACGGCCCAAGTGGGAGCCGCATCGAACTCCTTAAGGAACGCGTCGCGCACCGCAATGCCGACTCCAGCTTGTGCTGAAATAGGGCCCGCTGACCACGAACCAATGCATCCGTGAGGAGGTCGCCATTCACAATTGCCACCGTTGGATCCGTGCTTTTCCGTGACCATGACGATTGAGGCACGCTGGAATGAATAGCGCGTGCAGATACTTCATTTTCGACTATCGCTGGCTCGGGCACGTCGGACAAAAGTGCTTGGGAATTCCTCGCAATAGCTAAAATATCGACCCTGACGAGCACACGCCGAGGTGCCGAGGCATTGGAAGAAGTAGCCGGCAAATAATACCCAGGAAGGAACGGAACCCAAGGCGGAAGGTCTCCCAGAGCTCGCTGGAGGCGCTGTCGACGATATATTCTGAAAGGGTCGTCGGACTTGAGGAGATCGTGCGGGGCCTCAGGGAGCAGGTCGCTCTCGCTGAAAATGAGCGGCGGGAAATGCGAGAGGACGCGAGGGTTCGCTGGCTGACGTGGAGATGAGCGGAGTGATGAAGACAAGCTGGAGGATAATGGCGATGAAGAGGCACGCGCCGCATGAGGAAGAAGGCGGTCAGCGTGGCCGGCCCCAGCGAGGCAGGGAGGAGCCACATGACTACCTCGTGAATACAACCCGCGGCGCCCATGCAATCGAGGAAACGAACTGCAAAATCTTGCCCATGCCCAAGGTGGTGCTGAGATGGTTCACAGAAGACGACCCAGGAAGGAGCCCAAGCTGAGCGAATCATTGATGACGTGGATGGCCACGAGGTCTTGGCCAACTTGAATGGTTTGCCAAACGTCCTGGCAGTGCGTCGGCATGAAAAGAGGCGAGGTGCTCGTATTCGCCCAGTCGGGGCCCCCAGGAGTAGTCGGCATTGAGTCGGCATGTGTGGTCAACAACCCACTGGTCGTAGCGACATGGGTCATGATCCGTCTGTTGACCTCGCTGCTTTCTCGTCCAAGCTCGCCCTGTGAGACAATTTCTGTGATGCGTGCGAATTGGCGCCAAAAGTGATCTCCTTTTTTTCCGCGAAGCTGCCAACGCTGGGATGGCATGCCATAACACAAGCGCTTTGCTGTCGCTTACATGGAGCATCTGTGAGCAGAGGCGCCAATAATGGTGCAGACAAGTAGGGCTGTTCAGCTCGAGTATCATGGCGTCGGCAGGCTGGTACATGGACTTCATGCCGTAGAAGGTGTCCACGCGCAGCGAATCATGGCGGAAGTAGCCAAGTCGAAGAAGGGTGACGAGCTCGGAAAAAGGCCTCCTAGGAAAAAAACAAAAACAAAACAACAAAACAGACTAATAAAAACAACAAACAACAAAAAACGCAAACCCGGATAACCTCGTGCGTGTTCGCGGGACTGCGGCGAGGGGAACGGGTGATGACCTCCCGGAGCTGTGGGTCCCCCCATCAGATCCAGGAATCTTGGCAGATCGTCAACCACCATGCCGATACCAGCCACATTCTGGCCAGTGATGTGGAACAGGGGGGCCTTCGAGTTGACTATCCTCGGAATCGACCTGGGGCCATCAAAAGAGACTGAGAAGATTGCGATTCCCTTTCGGGAGTGCCTGGGGCCACTGCGCCCAAGCAGAATCACCTCAAGAGGAGTAGCCATGAAAGAGCATCCGCGCACGCGAGACACCCACCTGCTCACCAAGCAGCAATAACCACTATACATATCAGTGACGTTG